GTGCACAACCTGCCCTACCCCTCCTCCCTTTATAGATTTACCTTCCTTTTATGAGTGCATGGACCTGGACATAGGAAAGTGATGCGACACCAAAATGTGCTCACAGGTACAGCAATAGGGCACTAGTAAATACTGACACTTAACTGAGAGCTGTTAGCCCAAGAACAGAAATGGGGAAGAAAGAAACAAGCTCACAAGTTGTGAGCCAGTCAGAACTTTAAGCCAATTAAAAAAACCCAGATAGGTAAAGAATAGGAGTCATTAGGGGATCAGATTAATGTGAATGTAGATTCCTTCCCCGTGAGAGCTGCAACCAGCTGAAGAGTTGTCGTTTCAGCTCCCACAACCTTCTTTTTCTAATGGACTCTGCTAGCACGTAGCAGCAATCTTCTGTCTCCCAGCTCCACAGCCCTCGATGTTTACAGCTTTGACTGAAGTCAGTGTTCAGTAAACAACGTCCGTGTTTCAACCCATAGTCACCACCATTTGTAGGCACTTTGTTCCTTGGCCTCCTTGCTGCCTTAACAGCAAATGTATGGAAGCTGCGGCGAGCAACGCGGGACTTCTCAAGGGAAGGAGTGAGAAAAGCAGATCTTTATTTATGTGTCGCTCTCACGTTTTGGTCCCTTTTCCAGTGTGCTTCTCTGGTGCGTGCCCTGACTCTGCCCTGCTGACCTCCAGAGCAGGACAGCAGTGCTGGGGACAGTGCTTGGAGCTGGCAGGACATCGTTGGAGGCTTTAGGGCTGCGGGATGGCTTTAGCACTCCAGCTTCACACTGGTGACTAGTACATGGAGTCCCGGGATCAACCCAGTCAACACATTCCGTGAGGAGATGTGGTGGTAGGACAGAGTAGCTGAAACTAGAGGCTGTTGTATTAGTGCTGTTGATGATGTTTTGATACTTGCTGGAACGCTTTCCCCTCCCTACCCAGTACTGTATTGTCATTTATGTCACTGCTTGTTGTGTGTTTTAAACGACTTCCGTGTGATGCACTTTACACTGTAAATAAAGTTGCACCCTGTTTAGTACCCGTACAGAGGCAACGTTGCACACTTTTCTTGATGCCTCACAACAAAAATACCAACCTACCTTTTAGGGCCTGCCGGCAGAGCCTGAGTATTAGGGAAATGGAACTCCACTCAAGGGAAAAGACAAAATAATTGCCAGTAATCTTAAAAGGATGTGCAGGATTAGTCCACGTTTGATCTTCGGATACAAATGCAGATAGCACCTAATTTTTCAAATCCTTTCTGCTGCTGGAGCGTCTTGTAAAACCCGTGAGGGCCAAATGTACCACTGGCATAAACAGACGCAACGAAACCTGCTTCATTCGCTACTTACACCAGGTGGAGATACGGCTTGTTTTATTCTGCACCAGTGCTGGAATTTCTAAAGCTATGGAGACACCCATATTTAG